TTAGAGTCATCCATGGAAGACTTTATAAGAAGTGTGAGGAATAAATATCGGACAGACAGTTCGGCTTCATTAACGCAGTGGGTACCAGAGAGGCACTTTTCGGAATACAGGCACAGATTCAAAGATGCAGGGACGTTAACTGCGACGTATACGCGTGCTTGATAGACTATGAAAAGGCATTTGACAGAGTTCAACATCAAAAGATGATAAACATTTTAAAAGAAGCAGACCTGGATGACAAAGACCTCAGAATAATTTCAGAACTCTACTGGAATCAGACCGCATACATGAAAATTAACGGAGAAGAAACAGATCACATAAAAATACTACGTGGAGTTAGACAGGGATGTATTCTATCGCCGTTGATATTTAATATGTACTCAGAGAAAATTTTTAACGAGGCTCTTTACGGAATAGACGAAGGCATCCTTCTAAATGATGAAAGAGTAAACAATGTTAGATATGCCGACGACACCATGGTGATAGCAGATAGTTTAGAGGGACTTCTGAGGCTAATGGACAGATTAAACGAGTACAGTCAACAGTACGGAATAAACATTAATACCCACAAAACGAAACAAATGATTATCAGCAAGGAGAATATAAACGGGGCTCATCTATACATTAATGGGACGCAGATAGAGCGAGTAAAACAGTATTGCTACCTGGGAACTATTATAAACGAACAGTGGAGCAATGTACAGGAAATAAAGTGCCGCATAGGAAAGGCAAGAACGGATTTTAACAAAATGAGCGCCATCTTCAAAAGTCACAACATATCCCTAGATACAAAAATGAGACATTTGAGATGCTATGTTTTTTTTTTGTCTGTATTGTTGTACGGGGCGGAGGCATGGACGCTTACAGACACCACTATTAAAAAACTTGAAGCATTTGAGATGTGGCTTTATAGAAGAATGCTGAGAATATCATGGACAGCAAGGATCACGAACAAGGAAGTTATAGGAAAAATGAAGAAATTGCAAGGTAAAGTCAAAGGTAAGCGAGGACCCGGTAGAAGGAGAATATCATGGCTGCGGAATTTAAGAACATGGTTTAAGAAAACCTGAACGGAGCTGTTTCGAGCCGCAGCGAGCAAGGTTATGATTGCCAATATGATTTCCCACATCCGAAACGGATAGTAACCAGAAGAAGAAGAAGAAGTTTTTGAATCAGGCCTTATCTTTCTGAAAAGTTTAAAATTAAATAATTTTTATAGGGTTGGTACGAGTGTGAAACGAGTATCAAGTTCAATTTGTTATTTTTAGTATTACCTTACTGTTTCATAAGCAATTCATTATGGATACATCGCTTTCTTTTCATCACTTTTACTTTTATGACAAAAAATTCTTCATAATATTCCTTTCCTACGAACTTCTTAAATTACAGCTCTGCATTAGGTCTTTAAACTGACAGTCATAGAACCAATACAAGAATTCATCCCTTTTCTTTCCATCAAAAATATGTTTTCAATATCACAAGTATCGATTAAAAGCGACGTACCCATTTCTTAATTTTGAACAAAAATCGAAAGTTAACATTTTTTAACTAAGGTTGTACCAGTTTTTATCTGCCAATTGAAGACAATCATTTAATACGTATCATTGGCATCAAAGCACGGTTATGGCATGACTCGACAATAATTAAATTCAGAGTGTCAAGAATAATATGCTATTCCCAATAGAGTGCCACTAGCAACATGTGCAGAATGGATTACAATGCATGAGAATAATATGATGAGTGAATGAATATTTTATGAACAACTGAATACAAACATTACGAAACGATATGGGCCAAATTAGGGATCGAGAAATATTAAAGTGAATAATTCTTATGATGAACCTAACGAAATTATTATGACAGACATTTAAATGTTTTTTAATCGTATTTGTCAAAAAATTTGTTGTAACATAAACTCTATTGCTTGTTTAATGAGTGCAAACGAAACATTTTTACATATTATGTCAAAATTTGCAATGAAGGTTTGCATAAACATAGACACTTCCTATGTCAAACTAACCTAAAATGAAATTTAAAAAATAGAAGAGACATGGTAACCATAGTAATAAGTTAAATATAATGTTAAATAATTTTGATAATTTTATAGTACAATCCTCACAAGGGTACGACTGTTGAAGATATAATAACTTCATTGTCTAAAGTAGTTTTTTGTTTTAAATTTTAGTATGTTTTGAGAAAGAGTTAAATGAACTCGAAAGCTTAAAAAACCTTAAAGATTTTTATTTAAACGACAATCCCCAATATATATATATATATATATATATATATATATATATATATATATATATTATATATATATATATATATATATGGATATATTGGGTTTAGTAGTCAATATTGGCCTGTAAGTAAAACTCTTTTAGGTTTGCTAAGCTTTCGAGTTTATTTTACTCTTTTTCAAAACATACTAAAAATTAACATAAAAAATTTACATTAGAAAAATGAAGTTCTTATGTCTTCAATAGGCTTACCCTTGTGAGAATTGTCTTTTAAAATTAGCAAAATTTTACATTTTGTCATTATGGCATTAACATAATGACATTAAATTTGATTTACTTTTTATTTCTGTCAAAACTTATTACTAAGGTTTCCATATCTCTTCTATTTTTTATATTTATTTTAGGTGAGTTTGACAGAGGAAGTATCTATGTTTATGCAAAACTTCATTGCAAATTTTGATATAATCTTACAGTTATTAAACAAGCAACAGAGTTTATGTTACTAAGTATTTAAGAAAGAAAAAATACAAATAAAAATAAATTTTATCTCATTTGAACTTGGAATAATCCCTTTCATATGCGTAACTTTTAAGAACTTTTATATTGTTATTCTTTTATTTAAAAGAAGATTACTGTATATAGCACTAAGATTTTCAATGTCTTCTCTTTTGTTTAAGGTGTTTTGTGTAGTTTTAATTAAACACATTTCTAGAAACAGTCTTTTGTTGTAATTTCTTTCCCTTCTCAATATTTCTGTTTGATCATAGTTAGGCGTATGGCCCATTGTAATACAATGTTCACTTAATGCACAGGCTTGTACTTTATTCAGATTAATATCACTCTTGTGAGATGTTAATCTTCCGGATAAATTTCTGGACGTTTCTCCAATATATATTCTGTGCATTAAGTGAACATTGTATTACAATGGGCCATACGCCTAACTATGATCAAACAGAAATATTGAGAAGGGAAAGAAATTACAACAAAAGACTGTTTCTAGAAATGTGTTTAATTAAAACTACACAAAACACCTTAAACAAAAGAGAAGACATTGAAAATCTTAGTGCTATATACAGTAATCTTTAAGTTCTTAAAAGTTACGCATATGAAAGGGATTATTCCAAGTTCAAATGAGATAAAATTTATTTTTATTTGTATTTTTTCTTTCTTAAATACTTAGTAACATAAACTCTGTTGCTTGTTTAATAACTGTAATATATCAAAATTTGCAATGAAGTTTTGCATAAACATAGATACTTCCTCTGTCAAACTCACCTAAAATAAATATAAAAAATAGAAGAGATATGGAAACCTTAGTAATAAGTTTTGACAGAAATAAAAAGTAAATCAAATTTAATGTCATTATGTTAATGCCATAATGACAAAATGTAAAATTTTGCTAATTTTAAAAGACAATTCTCACAAGGGTAAGCCTATTGAAGACATAAGAACTTCATTTTTCTAATGTAAATTTTTTATGTTAATTTTTAGTATGTTTTGAAAAAGAGTAAAATAAACTCGAAAGCTTAGCAAACCTAAAATAGTTTTACTTAAAGGCCAATATATTGACTACTAAACCCAATATATCCGTATATATTACTCACATAGTCACTAAAGCCCTTTCTAAGAATATATATATATATATATATATATATATATATATATTATATATATATGTATGTATGTATATATATATTTATATTATCTATGTATTTCAACAATTAAGTATTTTGTTTCTTTTTTGGATGATCGATAATTAGATTAGTTAAAAAATAAAAGATTAGCTACACTTTAATCAAAGCCTTAAAAAATCTATATGAAAATTCTACATCACAAGTAAAAATTGGCAAAAGTCTAAAAAGTCATCGTTAACAAGGGTCTGCGCCAGGGCTGCTGTATTTCACCAACGTTGTTCAAGATATATATTGCAAAAGCACTAAACCAGTGGAAACGTAAATGTCACGGTATGGGTATTATAGACCTCGGAGATGTTTGTTTATATACCTTACAATTTGCTGATGACCAAGTCATCATAGCCAATGATAAAGACGATTTATAGAGTATATGGCAAGAAAACTAAAGTAAGTAGGAATATGAACAGTGGGGATTGGAAATAAATGTAGAAAAAACTAAATACCTACCCATAGGAGCTGAGTTATACCTACCCATAAATAAAGCGAAAATATAACATCTATGAGTCACTAATTAAAAGCAGCCTACTTTACGAAGCAGAAACTTGGAGAATAACCGAGAACAACAGAAAAAAATTAGAAGCTGTAGAAATGGATGTGTTTAGAAGATCGTTAGGTATATCCCGCAGGGAAAAAGTTTGAAATGAGGAAGTAAGACGAAGAATTGGAATAGATGGTTACTTAACAACAGACATTGAGAGGAAACAGTTGATTTGGTATGGTCATGTTCAAAGAATGGAAGACACAAGACTACCCAAGAAGATTATGCAGTGGGTACTACCAAACCGCAAAAAACGAGGAAGACCCAAAAAGACATGGAAAGAAGGGGTAACTAAAGCAATGAGTACAAGAAATCTTAGAGACGGCCAATGGGATGATAGAAGGACGTGGAAGTTAGGCATCGGACAACGTCGAAAGACGTTCTAAAACAGATATATATATATATAAAATAAAAGAGCTAAACGTGAAAGTTAACCAATCAATACTTAAAAAGTTTTAAAGGATTTTAAAAATATCCTAGTAATATTTAAAATGTTACAAATACGACATAGAAAAATAATCAACATACCTGCTAAAAAACATCCGCTACGCCCACAAAGGATGCGGCATGCTAGTCCTCGAATCTCTGGGCAAACTTGAAGAATGTTGAAGGAACGGTGGCAGCTTGCCTGGTGGCGGAGGTGGAGGCAGAGCGGGACTCCTGGCCCTGTCCATATGGCTCGGAGTTGCCGTAGCGTAAATATTAACAGAACTCCTTTGATGCACACAGGGTCTTCGGATATCAGGCATTGAGAACTGCAACTTTTGCCAGAATTGACGATCGCCCCATTCGATTACAGTATTAGTTTTTAAGTACAAGCGTAAATCCGGGTCTAAGTCCCGTTGGGGTAGCTCCCCAGTCACTACGAATATCAGTCTACGTCTGCGGTCCTTTAAAACTTCATGTAAAGCACTTTTAAATTCGAATCTACACCATTCGTTATGAATAAAGTTCTTGGATAAAACTATAATTGTTCTTCGCGACGATTCCACGGCTTCAATTATGGTATCAGCAACGTACGCGGAAACATTAAAGTCTCTGTAATGTAAACATAGTCTGTATCCCGGATCTCCCGACTCTAATCCGGGCGCTAATACCTGACTGACGAACGCCTCGTCTTTAACGCTGTAGCTGACGTAAGCATCGAAAAGTCTGTCTTTATCCTGCTGTTCCTCGAAAGCTGTCGTTTTGTAACACATTCGTAACCCGCAGCGGGAATAAACCCACACCCTGAGCTCTCTGCGATAGTAAAACGCCCCGCACACGATAACCACACTCGCTATGAATACGCACATTGTGACTAATAGTAACGGCAAATAATCGTTCATCACTTGAGTTTCAACAACAGCTCGATTGCTACCTGTGAACACGTTAACGCAAGACGTGCCGTTAAAATCCGACAAATTAGGTCCTAGAGCTTTCGTGACGTTGTTGTACATACACATTATCTTATTGGCATCGACGACTTTGCCGTAATTCACCTGGAGCCACGTTTTGAACTTTGATACATAGGTACAGTCGCAGGACCATTGATTAAAGGCGAGACCGATCTCGACGAGATATGGATTCAGGGTAAATTGCCATACTTCGAAAGAATATAAACGGTTGCCGTCAAGGCGTAAAACTTCGAGTTGTTTCAGAGGTAAGAAAGTTCTATTATCGATAAAATGGATTAGATTTCCTTGTAGATACAGCTCTTTTAAAAATTCTAAACTCACCAGTTCGAATCCCAACAACTGTTTTATATGATTATTTTCTAAATGTAAGATCGTTAATCTTTTTAATCCACTGAACGTATAATTATACACTGCAGCTATATTGGAATTATTTGCGTACAAAACTTTTAAATTCTTTCTTCCTATAAATGCGTGACTGGATAATTCACCGAAATTATTGCCATCTATATACACTTCGGTCGCATCCATTGGAATTCTGCTGGGCATTTCTGTGTAACCCACTCCCGAACATTCGACCACATTCGCTGACCAGGACTGATCATGATAACAAGTACAATTTGTAGGGCAGGTCATTTCACAATCGCAAGCATCAAAATCACAACAATGGCATAATGCAAAACAGTGTGTTTTGTAAGTACATAAAAACTGAGAAGATTCGGCTTCAATTAACGGCAGATAATTAGTTTCTCGGTTGTACAACAATTTGCAATAAATACTTTCCAAATCCATTACTTTGGGATGCTGCCTTAAATGATCTAGTTTATTTATTCTTTGTAACCACTCCATTGTACAATCACACTGAAAAGGATTTCCACCTATATAAAATTCCGGCAACGGTTTCTCAGGATCTACAGGAGTTAGTCGTAAAGCGTTTAAATCCATGCTGACAATCTGATTAGCATATAAATCGACTCTTGTTAAATTCGTTTTCTTTAAAAATGTATGGGCTTCAACAGTTGTTATTAAATTGTCATTCAAAAATAGTAATTCTACATTACTAGGCACTGAAGCTGCACTAAGTCGTGTTATTTTGTTAAAACTTGCATCTAAACTTTGTAGTTTTAATTCAAAGTCAATATTATAACGATTGCCCAAGTCTTTGACGTTGTTCTTGTGCATATCTAGCCATTGTAAACCTTGAGGAATTAAAGCATAATCGAACCACTCAATTTGATTATCTGACACGTTAAGCCAAAGCAAACTTGGAATTTCTGCAAACAATCCGCTAACATCGGTAAGTTTATTAGCATCTAATCTTATAGCTTGCAAATTAGGACTATACAAAAAAGCCCCTTTTTCCACTTTTTCAATTTTATTTCTAGCCAAATTCAAAATTTGAAGTGCTGGCAAATCAGAAAAAATTCTCTTACTAATATTCGTCAACTTGTTGCCAATGATTCTAAGACCGTATAAATTACTCATTCCACGAAAACCTGGATCCTCCAAAGAGTCTATAACGTTTTCTCCTAAATCTACAGTCCGCATTAGTCTCATATCTTTCAGAGCTAAAGGCACTGCTTTCAATAAGTTTCCATTTAAATTCAAATCTTGTAAACTCGAACAGTTTCTGAACGCTTCGGGATGAATGCCTTCGAGGAGGTTATTATCTAAGGCTAGCAGTGATAAAACATAAAGACCATTCAGAGAGTAAGCATCTAAGTACGTGATTTTATTGTAGGAAATGATTAGAGTATGTAAGTTATTCATAGGAGCGAACGTGTCTGCAGGGATAGTTTCCAGTGAATTATGTTCGAGATTCAGAATTTGTAGAGTGTACAAATCGCGAAAGAAGGAAGGATCTAATTTGCTTATTCTGTTGTAAGATAAATTTAACAACACTAGTCGAATAAGTCCTGAAAATGTATCAGCGTTTATCCAAGAAGATGTGAGAAGATTTCTCGATAAATCTAGAGCTAAAAGTTGTTCTAAATTCGCAAATAATCCAGGGGCTAATACGCTAAGTGAGTTATTCTGTAGATATATTTCTCTGATAGATCCAACACTGTCTTTGAATAATTCCGAAGGTAATGCAACTACTTTGTTATTAGAAAGACTAAAAATTTGCAATGATTTAAGTCCAGCTAAAGCCCTATCTGCGACCATAGAAATTTCGTTATTATGAATATAAAGTTCTTTTAATCGCCGTAATACACTGAACCCGCTAGCAGGTATAAGAACAAAATGATTGTAACTAGCATCAAGTACCTGAATGTCCAAATTACATGGATTTGTCAAAGTCCTCGCTGTTTCTGTGTGTTGTTGGTGATCATCTTCGGCGACACTAATTAACGGTTGCGGTAGTCCCGGCGCTTTTTCTCTAAATCCCAAATCACTAACATCTTGCAACCGATTCTCACTCACATTTAAATACACTAAGTTTATCAGCGGACAAAATATGTTTTCGGGAAATGACCAAATATTATTACAACTCAAATCTAGTCTCTCTAACTGTCTTACTGGCAAGAAACTATCTCTCGCAAAGTCCAAATTCATAGCAGGCCAGTCGGTGTTGTGAGTCCTTACAGTCAGATTTCTCAAATCGCGGAGTCCCAGAAGAGTTCCCGAAGGCCATCGACCCAACTTGCAGTGCTCCAGCTCCAACGCTCTTAACTTCGTCAAATGTATAAAGCTTTTATCGTCCAAGCTACTTCTCGACATGATGTCCCCGTTGCACTCGATCCTAAGGGACGTGGTGTGCTCTGATGGAATTACGCTGAAGTTTGTCGTGTCGAACTCGCTGTTTATGGTCCTTAAGTTGCACGTCAGTGCAACTTCGTCTTGTCCCCCGGAAGATGCTGGTTCTCTAATCCACCACTGACAATCATCGGGAGCTTCGTAGCGAAGTGGTTGGGAAGAGGAATCAGTGGGTAAATATTCACTGGACAGCGATGATTTGAAAAGAAAAGGAAGGATGAGAAGAAGGTGTGAAGCCATGGTAGTTGTGGTCACAATTTCATAGTAGTCCTAGCAAATTTATTATCCCCGAATTAAAACGCACAATTTACACACATTTGTACAATTTTTTCGTATATATTAACACGCACAATAACGTTTAAAAACCGTAAGTTTTATTTAAAAATTTACTTCATTTATTTTCTGTATTTCTCGGAGTTACCGGTTGTCGTTGCAGCGACTTACACATCCACCTCAACCGAACGGTGGCGATAGACTAACTTGTCAGGATGCTGGTAAAAGAGTTTGTGATTCCACGAGCTTTCGTCGTTACGAGAGCACTCGAGTCTAGTCGAAGAGGTCCGAAAACCATGTTGCGCCCCGCCTTATTTTCTAAGCGCCACTCTTCAACGAACCGTAGGTTTTATCTGAACTTCACTCGTCAAAAATTTATTTATACCAGTAAAAGTCCACCGTTGTTTCTCTGGTATTGAGGATGGTTAATCTAGCGAACAATTGGCGGCTTTACTTGTTACAGAAAAAATGTAATCCAATTATTTCAGCGATGCGTATTAAGCACACATTAAGTACAACTAGGAATTTTTGTGAACTAAATACGAGGAAAAAATTACTATTTTAACAAATTAAATCATAATATTTAAATTAAATATCCTGGAATGATTTTTAAATATTAAGTAATATAAATGTTAGAAAATAATCACTGATTTTTTCGTTAAATATATTTCACGCTATTTCATTTACATTATTTATGTAAATAATGTAAATAAACCCTGCAACCACGCAGGGTTATTAGCGTATTTGGATTAATGTGACAGTTGATACAATTAGAGTATATACATTAGTTTACAATAATAATAATAATAATATGTATTTGTATTATAATGTATTTTTTAGATCATTTGAAGAAGTTGACAGTCTTTAACCCTTTCCCTGTCCTGTGCATTACATGTGATACACAGGCATTATTTTTGAAACGTCTGTGCATTATATATGATACTCAGTGAATAGTATATTTATAATGAAATATTTCTTCAAAGCGCATGAGATATATTCATTGAGCATTGCTAGTCGTGTCATTTAAAAGTATATTTATGACCAAGCATATGATATTGGCTGTACCGGTTAAGTCTGAGAGAGGAAACTCGATTTTCATATTACCTCACGAAAAGAAAGGTATTTATAATTTGTGCTGCTATTTTATACTACTATTGAAAATAAAGTAAAACATGATTTCTATATTATTTAATGATTAAAAAAATGTATATAAATTCCAAATTTTGCGACACAAAAAAAACTTAAATATATTTCTATGACTAAAAAAAAAAAGCAAAAATTCAAATTGTTTTTCATGATTTTCATTGAAACATGGTAGGCAGAATGATTTCTCGCAAATTCTACACTCCATAGATACTTGTTTTGCTTCTTTCAGGGCTTTTTTATGATTGTGTTCCAGACTAATTTTTTTATAACATCCATTACACCGCCTGCGTTAAATTTTTCCATTTTCTTTGCGTGCAATGTTTGTTAGTTCATGAACTTTTCGAATGGGCTTTTCTATTTTTTGCTTGGTATCGATTCCAAGTAAAGATTCCGCCAAACATTTGGTAAATAAAGCTAGTTGCATTGGTTTATTACTATAAATTTTTTTATATAAGACCCAGCTATTAACAACTGCAATACTAATACATTCAAAAAGGACTTTCCTATACCATTTAACACTTTTACGAGCAGGACTGTAGTAAGAAATCATTTGATCTGAAAAGTCTATACCACCTTTAATCCTATTATAGTCTAAAACTGAAGTAGGTTTTCTAATTATTTCATCTTTGCGATTTCTTCTCTCCGTTTCCTTCATGTCAGATCCATGGAACGTTGAAACCATATAAATTGTTTTCTTATCTTGATACTTAAATAGTCGAATTACGTTAGTATTAATTGCACCTATAACTTGTCCTTTGTTTAGTTTCTCTGTTTTGACGTCATTCAGGATACCACTTCGATTAACCCTCATTGTTCCACAGTATTCTGTGTTTCTATTTTTTTAAAAATGTGTAGCAGTTGTCTGCTACAAGAGTGCGACCTTCGTCAAGTAATGGCTCAGATAAAGAAACAACAACAGATCCGGGGTGGTCTAATCCAGGTAATATTGTAGACGTACCATGTCCGCAGTATATGGAAAAATTCCATATATATCCTGACGTCTCGCATAACAAATAATTTTATTCCATATTTATGAGACTTACCGGGATTATATTGCCGAAAATGGTAGTCTTCCTCGGTGAGAAAATCATAGTTTCATCGACAATTATTTCTTCCCCTGGGGTATAGACCTCTTGAATTTTTGAAATAAACAACTTGATGAAAGCATCTATTTTGTATAATCTATTGTTAGTTTGAGCTGTTAAATTATCACAAACGTGCCAGTTTTTCAGTATCAAAGAGAATCTGTTGTAGCTCGTTCCAATTTTGTGAAACATTGGATGGTAAAATAGACTGTCTCGTCGCCAATAATCTTCTATGTTCTGGTATTGGATAAGTCCAGTTACAAGCAGAACACCTAAAAATTGTTTGTGTTGATGTTGATGACTTCGTATAGCCTTGATGGAGTGCTGTTCCAAGTTTGTTGCCATTTTTGAATTGTTTTTTGTTTAAAGTATGGATTTAAATGGTTTTGTATCAATATGTTACTTTCTTCGGACATCGGGTTAGTTGGTGCGTTTTAGCCAGTTTACCTACAACTTCGTTACCTTCAATTCCCACATGAGAAGGCACCCATTAAAAGTGCACTTGGATGTTCTTCTTTGAAAGGTTTTTAAGTTTTTTTTTAATAAGAAGTAGAAGACGGTTGTCACAATACAATTGAGTCAGTGAGGATAATGAACTTAAAGCATCTGTAATTTATTATACATTTTTCTTTGTTTTTGTTTTGTATTAACGATAGTGCTTTTAGAATTGTGAATAATTCAGCTGAAAAGATGGTTGTAATTGACGACAATTTGAAACTAAATGAGGAGTCTTCCGAATAAATTGCTGCTCCAAATCTGTCTTCATTTTTGATTCATCGGTGTATAAGTACGTTGTAGGTATTGCCATATCTATTTAGTAGTGTATAAAACTTTTATTTGATGATTGGTTGATGATACCTCTGTTTTTCTTAAGTTTGTTATACTGATGTCGATGGTACGAATAGATATTGTCCATAGTGCAGGGTTGTGGATTGAAGAGGTATCATAGGTTTTTGGAAATTGAAAATTTAATTTGGGTAAGTATGATTGTATACGAAAGTAAAAAGGATGATCAATTTTATGTGTTTGTTGAAATTTATTTGTAAATCGATCTGCAAAACGTTGTGCAGTACTGGATTGTCTTCTGAAAGAAAGAGGAAGTTCTCAACTTTCTCAATAGAGACTTTTAATGGGAATTATTTAGTGAGCAACTAAAGAAATACGTAGACATATATTTTGGATGATATCCAGTGACTTTAAATGTGTTTTTTTGGAGGAGTGTTTAGACAAATTTTTCAGCTATTGAATATGTGTCTTCCAAGTTAATTTTTATCAAACGGTCATTACCCAAGAATCGGATTTCTTCTACATAATCAAGTTTTTGTCGTGTAGATATAATTCTTTTGTTTGGATTTGATTTCTCTTTGAGAAAACACATTGCTTTCGTTTTTGAAGTGTTAAAACGAAGTCCACATTTAGCTTACCATTTCTCCATGTGTGTTAACGCTTTTTGAATGTGATTGGGAATCGTTGCTATGTTTTTTCATCTACAGAAAATAACTAAAATAGGTCGTCAGCGTACAGTCTAGCTTTGACGGGGTTTTCAATTTGTGTTAATATCAAATTTATTGCTACTAAGAACAAAGTTGTGCTTAAGTTTGATTCTTGTGTGGTATACCATTTTGTTGAATTTTTGTTTGAGAATATGTTCCGTCAACTCGAACTTGAATTGTCTGTTTTTAAGAAAAATTTGAAATGTATTTTAATATGTTACTCCTTATTAACCAGTTGCTGAGTGTTTTAATGATTGAATATTTCCAAACTGTATCATATGCTTTGCTTATATCAAATAATATTCCAGCACAGTGCTGTTTTATTGCAAATGCTTCGTGGGATTTCGATTCTAAGTCAACAAGTTTGTCTAAAGTTGAGCGATGTTTTCGGAAACCACATTCTGGAATAATTAAGTTGTTTGATTCTAAATACGCATAAGCCTATTGTTTATTATCTTTTCTAATATTTTACCTATGCTACATGTGATATCGATCGATACGTTTGTGGATCTAATTTTGGTTTAGTTGGTTTTAGAATAGGTATTATGATTGAATTTTTCCATGAATTATGAAACAAGTTTCTGGATAGAATTATATTGTAGATATTGAGTAGATATTCTTTAAATTGAGGGCCTAAATTTTTAAGAAATATAAACGGAATATTGTCGGGTCCAGGACAAGTGTTCTTACAGTTTGGAAATACATTTTCTAATTCTTCTTCTGTTATTAGTACATTTAGATCGTTATTGTTTTGATCGTAATATTCTATAGGATTTTTTTCTTCTTTTATTTTGATATCTAAGAAATTGGAAGTATAATTTAAGTTACTTGAGTTATCATTCATAAGTAGATGCTAGTATATTGGATATTTCTTCTGGTCTTTTATAAATAGTGTTATTTTGAGTTAGAAAGTTGATTGATTTATGGGGTTTTGATCTAGAGATTTTGTTAACTTTTCTCCATGGTTATTATAGGAGTTGATCTATGTATTATGTTGACATATTATTCTCTCTAAGAGTCACCCATGGCTTTTTTAATGGTATATCTAACGACTGCTCTTAAATGGCTTTTTTAATGGTATATCTAACGACTGCTCTTAATTTTTTAAAATTCTATAGAATTTTCTTGAGTTTTGTGTCGTTTGAATTTATTAAAAGCTTTTTTTTTTAACATATAATCCACACCAACCACGCAGTGTTGTTTGTGGAGTAACATTTAAAAGAATTCATTTTATTTACATTAAATAGATGTATATAAACATAAATCTTTTAAATAATTTTTTACATGGTCAGTGTTTATGGTTAAAGTGGTTTTCATGTCATCTGAGATTCCATATTTTCTTCTTGTTTCTTCGTGGTACTGGCAGTCAATCAGAACATACTTCACTGTCAATGGGAGAGAACAGTTTCTGCAAGTTGGAGAAGATTCTTTGTTGATTAAGAATTTA